CATGCTTCATAAGCAAACTAAGATACCCACGTTAGGAGCAGTGAAAATAATAATAAAATAAAATAAATGATTGATTGAATGTCGGCTGATGTCAGCTAGAAGAAGAGACAGAGGAGCCAGAAGAAGGGGGACTGAAGCTATTAAAAAAGGTGTTCGCTAGATGGTTATACTTGTATTCTGCTTTCAAAATATTTACTGATTTAACTATATAAAAAATAAGTGCCGATATCGGGTCAAACCAGTTTGAATATTAAATAAAATATGAATATGAAACCGTATATATTTATATAACGTATAATTATTATTTTGTTACTAAATATTCTATTCTTTCTATAAATGACCGATTTGCAATGGATCTATCTCTTCAAGTGCTTGAAACGAACTGATTCTGACAGAAATCTTGGGATATTTTGATGATTTTTTTTCTATATTTAAAGTCGACTTTCATTTATAAATCAACTCTGAAAGTTAAGAGTTAATATACCACATAGTTCATATCACAATACATCATATATCACATACTTTTAAAATACTTCAATTCAAATCACGGATGAAAATCATTTGATATTTTAAATACGAAATAAATCAAATATATTTTATGTAGTATTTAAGAAAAATAAGTGAGAAGAGAAAATGCTGGACGGCTGTGGCGATGAGTTGCCCAATCCCCATAAGAATTGCTTGAGGGAGATGTTGAACACGCTCATCTGCAGCGATCAGGATGTGAAGCGTTTGAACACGGAGTTGAGGAACTTGCAGACCGAGCTGAACGAGGAGTTGCGAAAGATTGAGAAGGAAAATGCAACGTGCGAGGATGTTAAGAAGAAGATGATGGAGAAAACAGTTAAGCCTCGACTATGTGAGCCTGACGAGGAGCAAGCGGAGCTCACCAAGCGGCTCATCAATCTGGATGAGGTGAAGCATTTCTATTCCAAGCGCTCGGAGGAGATACGCAAACGCCGAGACAACATCATCATGTATGCCAGGCAATGTATGCAGGCCTACAACGAGGAGAAGTGCAAGTTCAAGGCCTTCCACGAGAACACGGTGGATTACATAAAACGCACGGCCACCTTGTCGCAGGACCGGGCGGTTGTGCTGCGCTGCGAGCGGGATGTTTGCGAGATGCACAAACGGTTCGTGAAGGAGGTGGCAAACCTAAAGCACTGCGAGACTCAGCTGCAGCCTTTCTTTAAACTCTTGAAGGAATCCGATCCGAATGTCTACTGCGAGTGCTGCTGCCTCAAGGACTACGATTGGCTGCCGCAGGGCAAGAATATGGAGGCAGTCGATGCCGCCGCCAAGGAGCTGAAGGAGAAGATGGGCAAGACCTTGGTGAGCGCCTTTGCTCAGCTGCACATCCACATGCCTCAGGACATGTACGGCTTCATAGCAGGCTACCTGATGAATGTGGAGCGCAACGAGCATGAGGTGAAGGAAAAGCTCGATCTCTTCCAGGACCATGAGGAGTGCCAGGTTAAGGAGCTTCCCGATCCCACCTATCGCTGCGACAACGAGTGCCCCAAGCAGTAAATTTTAATTGAAATTAATTTGTTCAAATCGGAAATACTGAATGACTCATTTATAGCTGTCTTAATAACTAATTCTTTAGAGAATACCGAATACCGAAATATATAATAAAAGAGCCTGTCCGAAGTTTTATGGAAAAAGAATTACTAGTTTAATGGCTTCAATCGGAAACAAAAAGAATGTGTAATAAATTGAATCGATCAAAACATATAAAGAAAACAGAAAATAAATGAAGACCTAAAATTTCTACTATAGATAATTAAAGCAGTTTCCACATTATTCTGGAGAGGTATATCAATACAATATTATCTGAAAAGTTACAATCACCTAGCTAAACATACCAGTTTATTATAAACAAGTCTGATAAACATAATTTGTAATTTTTATTCAATATAAACTCACATTCAGATGATAAAAATCCCTACAAGTAGAATAGTCTTGCATGTTAAGTACATAAGCCTTTATGCATACAGATAGACAGATGTATATAGATATTTATGTATACTATATTATTCTTTAGCTTTTTGTTTCACTTAGAAAATCACATATAGAGTTGTTTTTGTATTCGGCGACACTTAAGCTTCAGTTTCGATTCTGATTAAATATATTATGAACGTTAGTTTCGAAAACATTTCTATTGATTCTTTGCTTTCTTCATTGCAATGCTGTTTTGCCGATTTCAAAATATATTATTATTATTATTATTATTATTATATTTGAATCTTCGAACTTTTTGAATGCTCAACTTAAACGCCAGTTCTGCGTAATTCTACTTCTTGCGACGATTGGCCCGCCGCGAAGTGGTGGCAGGTTCCTTATCGGTGACACCTGTTATGGAGGCGCCCGACATTTCGGTGTTGGCCATCTTCTCTTGAGTGTCCAGAAAGAACATGACATCGCGCAGCTGCTCCTTGAGATCTGTGACCTCCTTGTCGTGGTTGTGCTTAAATTCATTGTATTGCAGTTCCAGATTTTTGTATTTCATGTGCCAGGATGTTTGATTGTCCTGCAGAGCCTTGGACAGTTCACGTTCCTCAGTCAGCTGCTTTTGCATCTCTTTGAGCCTGTGAGCCGAGAAGAGTTATGAGTCTCGGGAGAGATGTATCTGTTTGACATTGACTTACTTGTTTGCCTGTTGGGCAAGTTTTCGTTCCAGACTCTGTTTCTCCTTCAGCAAGCTCTGGTGCATCTGTTGCAGCTCGCTTATCTCTGAGCTGGCCGCGTTGGCATTGCTCTGAAAGTCCTCCCACTCCTTCTCCAGGCGTTCCATGCGCTCCTCGTAGTACTTGCGTTGCGTGTCAAGCTGTGAGGTCAGCAGATAAGTGAACTCCATTTGCATCGAGTCGATCTTCTCTTCGCGCTCATCCTTCTCCGTTTGCGAGGCAACGAGCTTGCCGTCCGATTTGTTTTGGAACAGGCGATGCACGAAGTTGTCGCCGGCGTAATCCCAAACGCTCGATGTGCCCAGCTGCATGGCGAAAGTGTGATTGGTGGCCCGATAGTGCGCTGCGGCATGTCCGCCTTGATATCTACCGCAGCCCACATGTCCACAGATTAAGCATATCCACAGCGAATCTGTGCCCTCGCACTCCATGCAAACCGAGTCCTCGACGAGCTCCGGAGTTTGCACGTGACGGCACACCGGGCAGGTGGAATCTCCCCACTTCATCAGGCAGCTGGCGTGGAAAGCATGATTACAGAGAATCGTTAAGACGCCATCGACGCTCTCGTCCATGCGCTCCAAGCAAACGGGACAAGTGGGCAGCTCAGTATGACCAAGGGGTGGCAAACCATGCTCTCCACGCTCGACCTCTGACACCCAAACGGCGTGACAGATGGAATCAGGCTCCAGGGAGTTGTAGGCTAAGCCGTTGTAAGAATTGTAGAACTCTAAGGCAGATTCATTTGAGCGAAACCTGAAGCAGATTAAACATATTACATAATGGCTTTACACAAGTGATCCCATTTGATTAACTTACTCCAGCAGCACCATAAACTGATTTGGACTGCCATCGCGCACGATGCGCACGTGTTTAATCTCCGCATGACAGGGCGCTATGAAGTTCAGTAAATCGTGGCAGTTGAGTGTGGAAGGCACGGCGAGCAGGCACAGCTGATTTGAAGGCGCCTCCTTGATGGCTTTGCGTTCGCTGTCAAATGGAAAAACAAACATGGCAGTTGGTTATTGCTTTTGGACCATTTCTTGCTACGTACTTTTTCTTGTAGAGATGTATTATGCCTTTGGTGACCTCCACAATGGGATTGCCAGAGAAGTAGCCGAGCTCTTGTGGAAAGTTGGAGGCAGTCCCTTGGGTTTCCTCTCCGCCTCCACGGGGCGTCGTCTCCCGAGAGCTGCCAGCCGTTGGACTGTTGGTATGCTGCTGCACTGCAGCGGCCCAATTCATTTTCTTCAATTCCTTCGCTGCGTTTGTTTCTTTGATCCAACGTAGGTTTGTATATGTTTCAATGATGATTTCGTGTGCCTGGCGTAGTCCGCGGTCGCGTTCACGCTCCTTTTGCACACGCGGATTGGTTGGGTGCTCCGCTGAGACAGCGCCTTCTAGGTCTGCGAAAAACACAAAAAAAAAAGAAACAAAAACAACAACGTAAAATCTTTGTCTCTGTTTTCGTTGTTCAATTTAGGTCATTTACCTGCGTTGGTTTCCAAATCGATTTCGATTTTAATGACACACAAGGAAATATTTTCTAGCATTACACAGGCATAATTTTTGTCAGGGCGAAATGCCAAAAAACATATTAATTCTTAGTTTATGAAGGAATTTCACAATTTTCACTACTGAATGGAACGCGCAACAGAAGCGAACTATGCAAACAACTACTGAAAAATACCACAAATAATACTCATTGTTATCGATAGTGCTATCGCATGGCTGAGTAACAGAGTGCAGTATTACCCAACACTAACAAACGTAACGTACCGGTCTTTAAATCCATTTGATTTTGAAATTGTATTTTTCTTTTCGAAGAGCAGCAATTTAATAAGTGTTATGATTTACTCTAAAATGGACTGGATTGCTGAGTTTTCCGATTATTTACATAAACTCATATACTATATATT